TATTTTTCTATTGATTAGTTATGTTAGTCTGCAAGTATTAAATAAAAAACTCATTGAATTCGAACGTTTATTTATCATCGATGATCAATTACGTCGAATGAATACAGCAGATGAAACATATAAGTAATAATCATCTTATTTAATTTTAAACTCTATACGAAAAAAATAAAATTTTTTATTTTTTGTTTAGACATGTTTTCATTGGTCCAGCTTTTGGTCTTACAAATACCGTTGTACCATATCCATCATTATCAAATCTTTTATTTGGTATTGCTAATAGTCCACAAACAGAATTAGGTGATGCATCAAAATTATATTGGTCAAGATTAAAACAACATTTTCGATTAATTACACGAACATTAAATGGATTCGATGGTCTTCTTTCAAATTCTTGAAAAGAAAAAGAGAGAGTATTAATATTAAAAAAACTATTTTTTTTTTTTTTTGTTTTTCATTTATAAACGCTCAAGTAAACAATATTATTTTTTTCTTTTGCAATTCTGTGTGTTTTCAGATGTCTATTTTGGTCTCTTTTTATGTCTTGACAAATATTTAAAATTTCATTCCGCGTAGCCATTTCGTTCTCTTGTTGTTCTCTAAAATCTTGCAAAACTATTGGTCTGAGTCATGTATTACATCTTCGATTTCTTCCTTTCTGTTTTCTTTTTCTCGTATATATAAAAGTGCTTGCTGTTTTCTTTGTAGATCATTTGATCGTTGTTTTTTTTTATTAATTCATCTCTCTCATTCGTTCGAATTTAATCACAATGGTTAAAGATACGAAATATTATGATATTCTTGGTGTACAACCAAATGCAACAGTTGATGAAATTAAAAAAGCTTATCGTAAATTAGCTTTGAAATTACATCCAGATAAAAATCCAGATAATGATCCAGAACAATTTAAACAATTATCACAAGCATGTAAGTTTTTATTTAAGAAAAAATCAACAAATAACAAGAATTGTTTTTTTTTTTAATTTGTCTAGATGAAGTTTTATCTGATGAAAAAAAACGTTCATTATATGATCAAGTTGGTGAACAAGGTTTGAAAGAAGGTGCTGGTACCGGTGGATTTCATGGTTCAGATCCATTTGATATTTTTAATATGTTTTTTGGTGGTGGTGGAAGTCCATTTGGTTCTCGACAAGAACATCGTGGAAAAAATCTTGTTCATCAATTAGCAGTTTCATTAGAAGAACTTTATAATGGAGCTGTAAGAAAATTAGCATTACAAAAAAATGTTGTATGTGATAAATGTGAAGGTAAAAAGAAAAAACAAAAGCAAATTTATATTTTTCTTTTGTTTTAAATATTTTATTTGTGTTTAGGTCGTGGTGGAAAAAAAGGTGCTGTATCAAAATGTACAACATGTAATGGTAGTGGTTTTGTTGTTCGTGTTAATCAAATAGCACCGGGTATGATACAACAAATTCGATCACATTGTTCAGATTGTGAAGGTCAAGGAGAAAAGATTAATGCTAAAGATAAATGCAAAACATGCGATGGAAAAAAAATTGTTCGTGAAAGAAAAATTATTGAAGTGCATATCGACAAAGGTAAGGAACAAAAACAATGATTATTTGTTTTTCAATAAAAATAATTTTGTTTTTTTTTTCTTGTTATAAAGGTATGGAAGATGGAAAGAAAATAACTTTTAGTGGTGAAGGTGATCAAGAACCAGGTCTTCAACCAGGTGATATTATTGTTGTTTTGGACGAAAAAGAACATGCGACATTTAAACGAGATAAAACTGATTTACATATGAAAATGCAAATAACATTAACTGAATCTTTATGTGGTTTTCATAAAGTTATTAAAACACTTGATAATCGACAATTAGTTATTACTACATTACCAGGTAAATGAAAAAAAAAAAATTTATAAATCAAACAATAATTCGTTTTCTTTTTTTTCTGTTTTATTAAATTTTAGGTGAAATTATAAAGCCAGGCGATATAAAATGTGTTTTAAATGAAGGAATGCCTGTTTATCGAAATCCATTAGAAAAAGGTCGTCTTGTACTTCATTTTGATGTGAAATTTCCGGATAAAAATGAATTACGTCCAGAAAGTATAGCTAAATTAGAAAAAGTTTTACCACCACGTACATCAGTTCATATACCAATGAATTCTGAAGAATGCGTTTTGGTTGAATATGATCCACGTCAATCTCAACGTTCGCATAGACATGAAATGTATGATGATGATGGTATGGGACACCCTCATGGTGGAGCAACACAAGTCAATTGTGCAACACATTAATTGACTCATTAACATCAGTATCTTTTTCTTCAATTTATCATTCTTTGATTATTTTTTTTTTCTTGACGTATGTGTGTGAAAGTAATGGAGTAATATCTTGAAAAAAGGAAAAAAAACACGATCTAAACAAAGAAGAGAGAGAAGGCATTTCTTATTTGCATTTTCTTTCTGTGTTAGGTGATCCATACAATATTTTGGTATTGTTTTTGTGATTTATTTTACATTTTGTATAGCTGAAAGAATTCTTCATCAGAAGTGGTTGATAAACTACGTGGATAAGAAGGTCTGCAGAAAACCAACTTTCTGGCTTTCTTTCGAAGGTTTTTTGAGAAAAGATTTTATTTGATAAAACACAAGATGAGACATCTTCGACCTCTTTATCACCTTCCTTTACCGAACTGTATTCAATTTATAGAATATATCAAAGCATCAAATACGGCAAAAGTATTGAAATTTTCAAAAAAAAAAAAGGAAAATGGTTATTGGATCTTCTGTAAATTGAATGCAGTTTGATGAAGGAAGATCAGAGATATATCATTTTGCTCAGAATTATTAGCTCTATCAAATAAAATTTTTTCCCAAAAGCTTCGAATGGAAGCTAGACAGCTGGCCTTGGAAGTCTTGGTTCTCCACAGATCCTCATCCAACAAGTGGGGACTCCTAAGTGTGACGTGTCCTTTTGAATCGAATGGATTCTAGTTTGTAGACTATGATGAGACTAGAAAAAGTTTAGAAGAGCTCGTCTCCATACCTTGTGCACCTTGAATTATGACCATTTTATTGAATTTTCGGCTTCTAGAAAGGTAGATATGAGCAAGTCGAATTACAGAATTTTCACCTGGAACTTTGTCCATAGGTAGTAAACGTCTTCATACTTTTGGTTCAAAAGAATGTTTCTTTCTTGAGATATTGAACGTCTAAAAAATGATTATATCAAGAGTAGATGCAGAAAAAGCAATGTCTACAATAGAAAACGTTCCTTGAAACTACAAGTTTGAGAAAATTATAATGACTATAAGAACTACCAATGTGTGAAGTTATAGATAAAAATACTTTAATTCGATTTCCTCAAATGTTCCTTATCGAATTTCGAAAATCGAATAGAACGGTCACAATTCAAGAAGTACAATTTATGGAGACGAACTTTTCCAAACTTTTTCTTGTCTCATCGTAGTCTACAAACTGGTATGCATCCGACTCAAAACGATGTGTCACATTTGAGGATCTTTCCTCGTACACAGTTTTGTTGAAGTCTTTGGGTCTACCAATCATAATAGAGAATCAATACAGTAACACAATTGTTTTCAGATTCTTGCTAAATATTACCATTGAGAAGAAAACTTAAAAATACAACTGCTCTAAACTATGGGTGTTTCCATGGGATGTCGCTGGATCGACTGGCGACATCCCATGGAAACACCCTATATGATGGTTGAATCTAGCTGAGCAATAGCACAGCAGGCATCTAAATAAAATATCGATGATGTGTAGCTAAAATTCATTTTTACAAATTCAATTGAAGGATTCCAGACCTTAGTTTATTATCGAGTCGGATCAAGAAGCATATTTTATTATGAAAAGGATATAAAATTGATGTGTCTCTTTTAAACTTGAATTGAGGTGCATCAAGAAATTTATTTTTGCTAGGAAAGCATCTATAAGATGGAAATCAATTTTCTCATCTAAACAAATCTACCGCAATCCAAAACTGTGCACAATATTTCTATATCCTTTGTACATTAAAATTAATTTCTTTCGCTTATGTTTCAAAGCATCGCATTGAATTTCTATGCCATGTTTTCCATAATCATTTCATTTGGTTTTCTTGGAAACAGGAGTTCATTATCTCTTGCTCGAATCTAATCTTTCTATGGTGGACACTACTTAGAAGTTTGAAGAGAATAGTTTAATTTGATATCTAACAATGAACTATTGCTAGTATAATCGATGTCGTTTTTTTTCCTGTTCGTTCCTGTTTTCAACAAGTATGGTACTAATGAACATCTAAAGGAATCGGTTGAAGTGGATAGAGAAGAAAAAAAGAAGATATATTTGTGGTGAAAAATACGTCAATTTTGTCTGAAGTAATTGAAATGATTAGAAAGCTTGATTCTTTTGTGTTCATTCAATAGTTTGAGCTGCACTTCATTATCTCCCAAATCATATTGCAATCAGCTGACATCTATCTGAATTTGAACGTTATGTAACAGGAGTTTGTCAGCAATTAATTTAAAAATTACTAATTTCTAACGATGAAAATACATAAAAAAAAGAAGTAACAAGTTATCTTAGCCGATTATTTTATTTGCTAATACTTTCTAGATGTCAAAAAAACGTTTGTATTTCTTAGAAAAAGTTTTACTTTTTAAAAAGACTTAACTTTCCTATAGTGAACATCGGTCGAAAAGTCTAAAAAGTGTCCACTATAGAGAAGTTTTAGTATAGTGTATAATTGGATTGTCGCTCTAAGTAGCTACATACATATAATAGGACACAATTTGAGACATTGTCTCATTGATTATATCTTTATAAAATAAATCAATTTATGTATTGTAATATAATAGATTTTGTTTTTTATTTGTCAAAGAGAGCATACATCTTTGGTTCATATATATGTTGATTTCTAAGTAATGATACAGAAAGATATTGTAACTAGCTGTCTGGAAAATAACTTTTATATAAATGTGCACTATTTTTTTGTCTTTTCTTTTAATTAAGCTTCATACATATATAATAATGAAGTTATTAACGGATGGAGAACTTTTCTATCGAATTCGTACGCAAACATCATTTTCTGAAAAAGAAGCAGGTCAATTAATGAAAAAACTTATATTAACAATCATTATTATGCATAATAATGATTTATGTCATCGAGATTTTAAACCAGAAGTATGAAAATCTTTGTTTAAATTGTTTTTTTTTCTTAAATAGATATTTATGTTTTATAGAATTTACTTTTCTCATCATCTGATTCCAATGCTGAAATAAAAATAATTGATTTTGATTTTGCTAAACAAAACGTACTAAACTTCAAACGATAACAATACTCTGCGGTACACTCTTGTAAGAGAATAAAAAAAAACGTTTTTGAATGATATTTTAAAACTGTTTTTATACAGATATACAGTACCAGAAGCACTTCGTACTGCAACATCATTTAATCATTATCAAATCTTCTCTTTCTACATCATCAGTCTCACCACCATCATCATCAACAACAATAAGTATGACTGTAGTTTTTGCACTATCAATGACAAAAAGTACAAATACAGTTACATATGGTTATGATGAACCATGTGATTTATAGTCACTGGATGTTATTTTATACACAATGTTAAGTGGCGAAGTTCCATTCAATTCAATAACATCTCATCGAATAGCAGAAGATATTGTTGAAGACATAACATGCTCTTAATTATCATATGACACACCAGCATGGAAAAATGTATCTCATGCAGCTGAAGATCTTGTTAAAGGTTCGCCATTGTTATTAATCAATTAACGATCATAGTCTTATTTAAAATATATTTATCTAATGATTTCGTTTTTTTTTGTTGATTATGTTTGTTAACAGTTGATTCATCAAAAAGTTTAACAATTAAAGATTGATCGAGAAATGCTTGGCTTCGAGATTCAAATATTCCAACAACACATGATAATTTAATGACACCAAGTATATTTTGTTAAGCATCTCAATCTCTCATTGTATAAAATTCAGAAAAAAAGGCTTTTAAATAAATAATATTTAATTTTTCTTTTAAGGTTCGTGCTGTTAATGTAACAATGCGTGCATTTCAAAAAGCCGATCAATTTCAATTATCTTCTGTCACTAATGGAGTTCTAGCACGGCGTCGTTATGATAAAAAATCGACTGATTCATGCTTATTCACATCAAGTTCGACAACAATATCAACTACTGCTGTTGTATCTACTAATAACATTTCTTTATCATATTACCACATACTCGTCGTCTATGGAGCAATGGTGTTTGTCGTTATCGTCATACTCTATGTCCACCAACAAATGATATTTTATCTTCGTCTTCATTTGACTTTCGTGAAGAAAGACTTTCACAATTAATCGATCAATACACATTGACAACGACAACGATATCACCAAAAAGATATGGAATGACATTACGATCACAAGCAACTGCTACTACGAATAGTATTCATCATGAATTTGCATCTCCCGCTCTCTCTATCTCTACTTATACATTTTTTATCGTTTTCTTCTTATTCTTCATCGTCATCTTCCATTACCACAGATATTCTTTCTTCGACTAATACCATTGGTGAGAAACGTCCATTAACATCACCGATTCATCATCCATTAACACCTGCCAATAAGAAAGTCAAACTATCGGATGTAACAACTATTAATGATGAGAGTCTCTCTTTTATTTTCACTATAAATTATTCGCTTTTGCATTTCTCTAATTGTTATCTTTTATCACACAACCCATGAAGAACAGTTAATCTTTGCACTTGAAAATAAAAATCATAAAGGTCTTAAAATAACACGACCAGCTCAACAAAAATTCGGACAACAAGATTCTAAAAGTGAATGTGATTCCTATGAATGTTTCAGAAGTAAAACGGCAAATGGTTTTCTTCGATCATCAAGTTTAAAATAATTATCATGTGTCTTTGATATTGAACAATTTACTGAATATTGTCCAACAACATATGCTGTTTGTCCATGTTATACAAGTCGTTTATTAATAAATGATGTACAAATTATACTTTATTCATATCATTATTTTATTGATCCACGTGTACGAAATTCAATGTAAATATCAATTAATAAATCAATTATTATTATTGATGAAGGTAAAAAACAAATCAATTGATTTGAATTAATTTAAGATTAATCTTGTCTTTTTTTAGCACATTATATTGAACATTATGTACGTGAATCAATGAAATTTGAAATGAAAAAAAAAAGATTTTGAATTAACTTTAGAAGAAATACGTGCAAATCAAAAAGCACTTGAAATGGCACAAATAAAAGTTGATCAATTACTTACAAATGGATCAGATTTTTCATTAATACAAGACTCATTATCTTCAACACAACAACAATCAGCACGCCGTACAAACTGGTTGTTCTGAATATGATCGGTTAAATGAAGAAAATGATTTGCTTGAACATTTAAATATTGATCAACATGGAAATAAATAAGAGCACATATCACAATTAAATTCTGATGATCAAGAAATTCCTAATACATTAAAATTTCTTGCTGATGTTTAGTTAAAACAACTTATCCTCTTCATAGACAACAATTAATATTCTATTGATTATCACCAAGTGTTACATTTGCTAAAGACTTAAAATTAGTTCGATTGTGAGTTTTATGATATTAAAATAAATAAATCTAATTCTTTGATTATTTAAAGTTTAATTTTTGCATCTGGTACACTTGCACCATTAGCAACTTATTTTGGTGAATTAACAATTTCATTTGATACTCAAATGAGTAAAATATTATTCTTTTCTTTAAATTATTTAAATAGATCTTCTTTTAGAATATAATCATGTTATTGATATATAACGTACATTTATAATAACATTAAGTCGTGGACAAAATCCTAACATAAAATTATGAGCAACACATCAAAATATAGATAGACTTGATTTTCAAGTTGGAATATTTTCTTTTCCCTTTTTTTTTTTTTTTTTAATAAAAATTGTTTTAAAGGATGAATGTGATCTTGTTTTACTTGATGTTTGTCAACATATGCCTTATGATGTCCTTTACTTATTGAATGTAACTCTAACAACAGTTGAACAATTAAATTATGCTCAACGTTATCGAATTCTTATGTGTTTTAAAGCAACTGATCAACGTAAAATGAAATAATCTCGCCACGAATATGAAAAACATTAGTAAAAACCTTCATGAAGTTCATTTGAATCATCTAAACGGTTAGAATTTTTATATACATATTTAATAGCGATTATGCAAAAAAAATTATTCTAAATAAAATTCTTTTATTTATTTAATATTACCAAGAGGAGAAAATATTAGCAAGAAAATTAGCAAGAAAAAAA